ACAGTGCAGGAATCCAATGGGGAGGAAAAGCCTCGGAGTTCCCACAGCAGGAGGGGCTCCAAACCCAGCCCAGGGTGCTCTGAGGAGGAAAGACCCACCCTGTGCCAGGAAGGCAGCCGGACATCCAGCCGGGGCTCTGAGCTGGTGGTCCATGAGCAGCTTCAGGATGGGGAGAAGCCCTACAAGTGCTTGGAGTGTGGGAAGAGCTTCAGCCGGAGCAACAGCCTGATCTGCCACCAGATGATCCACACTGGGGAATGGGCCTACGAGTGTAGGGAATGCAGGAAGGGCCTCAGTTGCAACTCTGAGTGTCCCCAGTGTGGAAAGAGGTTTCGGACCAGCTCCACTCTCCTCAAGCACCAACGGATTCACACAGATGAGAGACCCTTCTGCTGTGGGGAGGGCTTCAAGCACAACTGCAACCTCGTCACCCACCAGCGCATCCACACTGGGGAGAGGCCATACGAGTGTGGGGAATGTGGGAAGAGCTTCAGCTGCAGCTCCAGCCTGAGTACCCACAAACGCCTCCGCACTGGGGAGAGGCCCTACAAGTGTCCCCAGTGTGGGAAGAGCTTCACCTGGAGATCTAGCTTGACCCAACACCAATGGCAGCATCAATAAGGGAAGCTCTGCAAACGCTCCAAAGTGCAGGAAGAGCTTTGTGCCCTGCTCCAGCTTCATCCCCCCTTGGAAAATTCAAGTTTGGCAGAGACCTGGTAATCCATGTTCCCTGTTGTCCATGCTGGGAAGACACCTGTACATTTTCCTGCCTATGACAATGTCATGATGTGGGACTACAGAACATGAGGGCCCGGACATGGCCCTGTCGTTATATTCAATCCCATCTCAGGTCATTGCCAGGGGCAGGTATTGGGGGTCAGGCGTCTTTTTTTTTTTTGATTCTGGCTTGCCTGTGGCATTTTTACCCCTTGGTTGTGGAGAAAACCTAAGTGTGGGTACTTGGTGGGTGATTGACAAAAGACAAAGAGTTTGGCTGGGCCCAGGGTTGGAAAGGGGCAGGAAAAAAAGGAGGGTGGGGACAGTTTGGCGAGCTTTTCTTCAGCTTCAGAGAAGGACACTTTGGGCGCAGAGCTGTTGCGGTGGGGAGAAGGGAATTTCGCCATCACCCAGATGGAGCTGCTGCTGCTTCTCCTTCTTCCCTCTTTGTTGGTGGCCTCGCACCCCCTGTCCTGCCGGGACGTGTGGCAGTGCCAGCCACTGCTGCAGAGCTGCTGATACACGTCAGCCACCGGCCCGGGATCTCAGCTCATCCCTGCTGTTCCAGCTGAGTGTTCCTCAGAGCCCTGCAGGAGCACCGGGACTGACTGCCCGAGGGGGTTTGTGAAACAAAACCTCTCCTCCATCCCGTCTCAGCCGAGGAAGCTGTCACGGGGCCCCTGGTTCTATTTTCTTGCTTATGCTGTAGTTATTATTGTTTGTTTGCCTGCTTATAAATACTAATAAAGAACTGTTATTCCTATCCCCAGATCTCTGCCTGAAAGCCCCTTGTTTTCAGAATTATAATAATGTAGAGAGAGGGAGTCTACATTTTCTTTCCAGGGGAGGCTCCTTCCCTCCCTAGCAGACACCTGTCTTCCAAAACAAAGACAGATGGGGAGTTTCTCCATCCTCCTTACCTTTGCAGGGCCGGCAGTGGTCTTGGTTCCTCATGCTCTCTTTGTGGGGCCTTTTGTGTCTGTCCCCCTCCGACTTAGGGGGACAGGGTATATTTGCTGCCCCCTTTCTCCTTCTGGGAAGCCTGTGTGGGCTCTTTGTCCCCCCGTGATTTGGGGGGTGCCAGTGTTGTCACAATCCCGGCAGCCCCCAGCTGCTCTTTGCCCTTTGCCAGGCCAGGGGTGTTCTCTGTCCCCTTGCAATTTGCGGGGCTGGCACAGGCACAATTCCCTTACTCTTCGGTGGGGCTGTCAGTCTCCCCTTCCCCCTCTGACTTGGGAGCTGCTGTGTGCTCCATCCATCTCTTATTTTGGGCAGAGGTGGGTATTTATGTCCCTTCAGTTTGGGGGGCCCAGTGATTGTCTCCATCCTCCTCCAGTTTTGAGGGGCCTGGGAGAAGTCTCTGCCTCCCACCGATTTGGGGGGACTGGTGCAGGCTCCACCCCCTCTGATTTTGAGGGACAACCTGGAGGAAAGGCACCAAAAGCTTGACAAAGGCTGAAGGGAACGCTCTGATTACCCCTTTTGCCAAGAGGTTCCCTTAGCTGAAGTTGCTAACAAGGACCAGACTCGCCAGCCTGCAGTGGGTTTCGGGTTGTTTTATTTCCTGGGCCCTCAGTCCTGCGTGGGACACGGGAACTGGGTGCTGCAGAGGCTGCGGCAAGGCATCAGAAATGCCCGCCCAACACCCAAGGGTGGTAGAAGATCTGCTCCAGCACCGGCCGGTCCATGGGGTGCTTGGACAAACACCAGCGGATCAGATGTTGGCACTCTGGGGAGAGAAGGCAGAAAGTGGCGCTCAATTGCAGAAGGCTCCTGCCCAGCTGCTCCCGGCGCCTGCAGAAGCCAGGCCACGCTGCGTGTGCTCGGAGCTGCCCTTGGTGGGAGAGCAGCACGGCAGGACAAGCGTCCCCTCCTTCAGCCAAGCGTGCCACACCCAGCCTGGCACGGGCCACCTGCTGCAGCCGGCCCTTGAGGGCACATGGACGTCCCGCGCAGCTGCGGGAGGGCCGGGCTGGGCTGCGCGGTGCCACCTGCCAAAGCCTGCCTTCTTCAGGCCACATACCAACCTGGAGAGACCTCCTGCGGGAAGAAGAGCTGCCCCAACACGATGTCACACTCATTCTCGAAGGGCAGGAACCCACACACCATCTCCAACAGCAGCACGCCCAGGGACCAGATGGTCGCCCCATCGCCATGGTAGCAGCGCAGGCCGATCCACTCGGGTGGGCAGTACGTGCGTGTTCCTAGGGGAGACGGACGGCACTGCTCAGGCGCAGGCTGCTGGCTTCCAGAGCCTGGCGCCAGCCTCCTGCCAGAGGACGGGGCTGCAGCCGTGGCCACAGCTTCCCCCCAAGGCGTGCCTCCCTCCCCATGACAATGGGCCAAAGCCAAGAAACCATTCTGCAAGGCTGACAAGGCCAGCAGAACAGCCCAAGGCCTTGCAGGCCTGCCAAGCCCAGGAGCCGGGGCCCGGCTTTTACAGCCCCTTTCTGCCGGCCCTGCCGACAGCCGGCTCCTGGGGCACAGCACCTGCCCCGTGCCACAGGGCAGCCGGCAGCTGGCTGAATGCCCCACCCCGCGGCCCAGGAGGGAATGGGGCCGTGCAGTGCCTGGCACTGGGAGCAGGGCCCACGCTCTGGGGTCACCGGCAAACTGTGTGCAGGCCAGCTCCTGGAGGAAAGTGCCGCAACTGAAGTCGATCAGCTTCAGCTCACCAGTCTCTGGGTTGACGAGGAGGTTCTCTGGCTTGATGTCCTGGTGCAGGATGCTGCAGGCGGTGCAGTGCCACACGGCCTCCAGCACCTGCCAGAAAAGCCAGCACGCCGCCTCCTCGCTCAGGAACTCTTGCTCCAGCAGGACGTGCAAGAGATCCCGAGATTGCTCCGGACGCTCCATCACCAGCACGAAGCTGTCGGGCAGCTTGAACCAGTCGAGGAGCTGGATGATTCTGCGGCAGCCAAAGCCACCTTCTCCATCAGCACGATCTCCAGTGGAACACAGGTGCCGTTGGGCTGTGAGGAGACAATGCCTCCATCACAGGGCCTGATGCTGCCCTGTGGCTGCAATGCCCCTGCCCGGGATGCCCCAGTGCCGCCTTGGGCAGCCTCCCTGCTGCTTGGGACTCCTCCCCCCCGGGTGGTGACTGGGAGGTGGCCCCTGCCTGGACTCATCCAGCTGGTACAGCTCCCACAGCTCCTTCTTGTGCCCTGTGGACAAGACCGAGCAATCAGCCTC